TCTTTTGAACTCCAAAGGATCTATAGATGAAATTTTGGTCTCAAGAAGACCCACAAAGATTGCATCATTATCATTCACAATCTCCTTCAAGTAATGGGAGGCCTTAACTTTCCTAACCCCCCTATAATTCCAAAATATTAATGAACTCATTTTGGATTAGAAGTGGGTATAGACCCACAACCTCTCCTTTTAATCAATTCACCTTTCCTGTTTTTAGAGGATAAATTAACATTACCCAAGAACTTTAGTTCTTTTTGCAGCTTGAATTTGACCACATTAGGATTGGAAGTAACTTCTTTAACAGGAGGATCTACACCATCCTTTACATCCTCAATTAATTCTCCTTCTTCTCTTTCTTTCCTATCATCTCTGTCTTCTTTGTCTTCTTTATTCATCTCCTTGGAATCAGCAACACCATTCAAATTACCATCTTTATCAGTTTTTTTTTTTTTTGAGAAGATGCACTAAGCAACATTATTAATCAAGAGAAAAGAAGAGTTCTAAACAAAGTAAAGAGCATCACATTCCTCCTTCAACACATTGTTGAATAAAGGAGGAATGTTATTGGTCACCAAATTGTCCCAAATAAAATCACCAAACCTAGTATGGTTAGCACAACAATCGGCTAACTTATTACATCTTCTATTTACATATTGAATAATAACTTCGTTGAAATTTCTAAGAAAGAAAAAAGCAAGAAACTGAGGATTGTTACCTTCGGATGGACCCTCATTAAAGATCTTTTGGATATGCTTCATGACATTGAAGTTATCACCTTCAATTATGATTCCTTCAGCATCATACATCCATTCGTGTATTACATTTTTTAAGGCCAATAAAGCTTCCATCTCAAGGGCATACATATCCCAATGAGTCCTTTTGAAACCAAAGGCAAACAAAAATCTTCCTTTGCTATCTCTAATTACACCTCCAATACCAGCTATATAATTTTCAGCAAGAGAAGCATCCACATTGAGTTTGATCCATTCGGTTGGAGAGGGTTTCTAATTGATTGGAAATAGCAAATGCTGATTAGAAACCCAGTTTGCCGAAATCAGATCATGGTTGAAAGATAATGAAGCAAAGCTAATTGCATTGGCTGCAATAACATGAAGGCTGTCTTCTTTCACCCCGAGAACAAGTTTATTCCTGCTTTTCCATAAGAAGAAAACTGCAAAACAATACAAATTTCCCAAGAAAGGATTGTAATTTGAAAATGCCGAAAGCCAATTGTAACAGTTTTCCAAATCTGTTAAAACAGGGATATGATAACCCCATTTTTTAATGATAGAGATGACCTCTTTAAGAAAGAGACACTGTACTGCTAAGTGATTGGCATCCTCCACGTCACAGCATCCTCTTGAGTATCCATTGTGATTGATGATTCATCTATACATTAAGAATTCCTTGGAAGGAATAGCTTTATGGATTAATCTCCACCAGAAAATTCTTACTCTTGGTCTCAATTTCAGCTTCTTTAGCCATTTCCAACTTACATCCTCTTCTTCATGATTGTTTCTTTGATCAAAAATCAAAGCTGCTAAAGACTTTCCAGAATTTTTGTATAATGTCTCCATTTCATCTCCCTGAATTCCAGCATTAACAGGGACCGAAGAAATCAGTTCAGCTAACTCCTTACCAAAAGCTTGATTGAGATTTTGGATGTTCCAGCTTCCATTATGAAGGAAGAACTTCAAACAACATTGATCTTCATGTAAATTAGAGACAAAAGTAGGCCATTTGTCAATAGACTTATCAAGGATCCAAATATCCTTAGTAGTGTTGATGCTCTCACCATCAGAAACTTTCCATCTAATAATTTGTTGAAGAAGTTTACCTCCATTGTTAATGATTTTCCAAGTAGGAGAACTCCCTAACTTCGTTTCAGAAAAACTGAAATTTCTTCCATACTTGGCAATAATGATTCTATTCAACAAAGAAGCAGGATTAGAGACCAAACTCCAAGCCAATTTGGCTCTCCAAGAACCGACTTTATCAGCTACAGACATGACACCTTGCCCTCCAAACTTGATTTGTTTACAAAGACTTTTCCATTCCACATAATGAATTCCCGAACTCTTACCTTGCTTAGTCCAGAGAAAATTTCTGCACAGCTTATCAAGATCTCTCAACACCCCCATTGGCACAAGAGAGTGAGTAGAAATAAAAATTGGAATAGAAAGAAGAGAGGTTTTAATCAATTGAAGTTTGCCAGCTAAAGTAAGGGAGAGATTACCCCAAGCGTTTAGCTTATCAAATGCTTTCTCCAAAACATCTTGAAAGTCTGAAGCTTTGAGTCTTCTCATAGTCATCTTAATGCCAAGGTAATTCATTTCATCCATTGTTTTAAAACCTATTTGGACTTATCTTTGTGTACAGCCTTACCGAAAATCAGAGAAGATTTTCGATCATTAATTTTTTGCCCTGTCCAACTGCTATACTCCTTCAAGATCTTCTTAATTTTCTTAGCATTTCTTCGATTTGCTTCCGCAAATATAATGATGTAATTTGCATATTGAAGATGGGAAACAATTTCTGCATTTGGGGCCACCTTCACTACTATCTTACTTCCATTTTTTCTGAATGCTTCAGCTAATAATTGAGAACACATGATAAACAAATAATGAGACAGTGGACATCCCTGTCTAATCCCACGTTCAGCCCGAATCCAATTGGTATTAATACCATTCACAATAATGGAGTACTTAGTGTCCACCACACACTAGAGAAGGAGATTGATAAAAGGCCATGGAAAACCATAAAGTTCCAACACCTGTTTCAAGGTTTTCCACCCCATACCAATGTTTAAAATTGCGTATTTGGGTATTGAGGTGTTTTTTATTCGTGAGGCGAGGCGTAAGCCTCAAAGACGTTTTGAGGCATAAGCCTCAAAATCAAAAGATTGCGTAAACATAAAATGATAATTTTTTTATATACTAATGAGTGAATACTATAAAACATAAAAAAGCATTTTAAATCTTTAGATTCAGAAATTGCAGTAATTTTAGCATCAAAAGAGGAAGGCAAACATCTTAAAATTTTATTAACTTTTTCATAGTTTGTAAGTTCTCTTTCAAATGCATGCAATGAAGTAACAATCTGAGTAAACCTTGTATACATTTCAGAAATCATTTCATTAGGTTTCATATAAAACAGTTTGTAATCATGCAATAAAATATTCAAATGAGGTTTCTTAACTTCTTTGGTTCTTTTATAAGTGATACACAATTTATCCCAAATCTCTTTACCAGTTGTGCAAGTTGAGACATGCATGTAATCTTTAGATTTTAAAGCACAAAAAAAATAGTTTAAACATTTTGCATTAACTTGTGCTAAATCCCTATCATCAATAGTCCATTCAAAAAAAGGAAGAGGAATACTAACACCATTAAATTTTCCAGTCGGATGTGTATAAACATCCTTAAGTAGCATCCACATACGATAGTCAATAGATTGTAAAAACGTAGACATACGAGTTTTCTAAAAATCAAACAAAATATTATCAAACAAAGGAGGTCGGGTAATGAATACCCTTATGCAGTATTACGATTACCAAAATTAGCCATGGATCGAAACTCAAAAGGTTTTAAAAACTTGTTTATGAATCCCACTCTGATACCACTTGAGAGTTCGTTACGGAAGTTAAGCCCCTTTGAACTAGTCCCAAGGCTAACCAAGAGGGAGGGTGAATTGGTATTTTAAAAAACTTTGCAAAAAAATCAAAACCTTAAAATCCAAAACACAATCCACAACAAAAATAACGAGTGCGGAAATTAAATGCGTAAGTAGAAACAAAGAAAGAACACGTCAGATTTATAGTGGTTCGGTCAGTACGTCCACTCCTTGGAGGAATCCTCTAAGTATTGCACTAACTAAGTGTCTCTCCTTTAGCTCCCATAGCTAGGCAAAGAATCCTTTACAACAGGCTCCTTTTCAATAACCCAGGTGTGGTAGAGAATCGACTTCTTTTGCTTCCTCCTAAAGCGGGCAGAGAACCCAGAACGATTGTTGAAGTAGACCTTCCAAGAACCACCCAAAGATGAAGGACGAAGAACAGAGAAGAAAACTTGGAAACTTTCTTTAAGCAACCTTTGTGAACCCTCTCACAAACTCCCCCTCATAATTTCCTCTCTCTCTCTCCCTCTCTCTCTCCCTAGGCTCTCTCAGGTCAAGACAACAGCATTCAAGGTCTTGAGCATAAAAAGGCACGGGTCCTTTATATAGATTTTTAAGAACCGACATTATCATCCAGGACGATATTCCTATCGTCCTATACGATCAGTATAAATTAAACTCAATCAGCCCGGATGATTCAGGACGATAAGAAGAATTTTGTTCATATTGTCTAAGATGATATAACATCATCCTGTACGATTAGTTCAAATTGAAGATTATTGTCCATACCATTACTCTGAATGAGAGTCTAGACGAAATTAAAATGCCTTGATCGTCTAGGATAATCTCACGATCGTTCTGGCCGATTAGTTCAAAATCTGCCCAAATCATCCAGCACATTGCTCTGGTCATCTAGAAGAAATAAAGGTTTTTGAACTGATCATCCTGGCTGATCCTGTGATCGTCCAGGATGATATGATCGTATCAATCAACCTTGATTACTTTCCTTAATCTCCATATCAATTTAGGCATAATTACTCTGCATCATCCAAGACGATGTCCTGGACGATAATTAAAAAATAAAGCTACCTAAGTTGACCTGGCAGCTGATTCTTTCTAATTTGAGCCTATCATTCCGTACGATTCAAATATCATCCAGGATGATATGCATAATGATGGCTGCCTTAACCAGGATGCCCTAATTAGGGTTTCTATTTTTGACAGATCATCCGGGATGATTTTTGGATCGTGCTGGACGATGTACTCAAAATAGAGAACTCTAAGTTTACACAAAAAAAAATTCACTCAGGTGTGTGTGTGCAAAGTTACTTAGCATCAAGCACCATAAAGATTACATTTGACTCAAGAAAGGGAAAAAGTACATTACATACTGATTTAGACTAATCTACCCAATCTTGATCTGGTTCATCTTGCAGTCTCGATCCTGTGGTCCTGAAACATTAGTAGGTAAGGCAGTTGAAGTAAAATAGAAGTGTTTGCAATCATCAAAATTATATTTCTGAAAAATAGATACGCAACATATGCAAGTATATTATCATATTATTTTATTCTGGGTTATTCTTGCATTCCTCTATCGAGGCTATACATAATACTAGGTCTTAACTATACATAAGGCCACTATATGTATTAAAGAAAGAGTGGGATAATATTTAAAACATTTTTTAAATTTCTAGCAATAGAATATTCATTAGTACTTAATATGTTCTCTACATCATCAATCCAAAACTAAGAAATTAGCCCAATATGGAAGAAAAGATAAGAATACTCTTTTTTAATGAAATCCTAAAAGAATGGAAATGTAAAAGAATGTTGTCACCAGGAAGGTTCAATAAATCTCCTTTACACTCCTTTAATGTATTGTGTTGCTCAAACAAATATAGACTAAATACTTTACTAATTGTATCAAGTACTTTCCAAAAATTTCTTAGTTGTCACCCTAAGAGAGATTTAGAGAAGTTCCATGGAATGTACTAAAATTAAATAAGTGACCGAGCTCTCTTAAAAAATAACTCAATGACTATTTATAGAAAAATAAAAAGTAGAAAACTAGTACTATGATGCTTAAAATATTTTCACCACTGCACTTAATAAATGAATTAATATCAATGCGCTACAATTTTGGCTCTGCACAGCTCTTGCTGATGTTGTTAAGTTACTTAGTAAACAACTACATCATTTTGTTGCGGATCAATGGTTTATAATTTTGATGATAGCAAACATTCTTATTTCTCTACGACTGTCTTATGTACTGACATTTCAGGTTCACACGATCGGACTGTAATTTGGAACTAGCTCAAGATTGGGTAGACTAGGTCTGAGTCAGTTTGTACCTTTTCCTTTCTTCAGTCTATTGTATTTATTGTGAGCTCCTGATGCTTTGTAAACGATAAGAGATTTCTGACTGTTCCTAGAGTTTACTGTTTTTGGTAACTTTGTCTTGAGATGATATTGTATATCGTCGGGATGATCTGTTCAAAATCAGAAACTCTAATTAGAGGCATTCTCGTTAAGCAGCTATCATTATGAAAAACACATCGTCCTGGACGATTTGTTCGGCCAGGAGTGATAGGCTCAATTCAGAATCATCTGCCGCCAGTCTACTAGGAAATTCTTATTTTTTGGATATCGGCCTGGTGGATCGGCCTGGACTAAAAATATTGCCAGGATAATCCAGGACATTTTTCTAAAAATTGTGGCAATTTGTGAAGCATATAGGTGTATCCACCAATGGAAGATCGTCCGGCCGAATTAACATCTGTAGCTTTCATCTTTCAGGGAGATTTTTCTCATATTTGAACCTAATCGGATGCTCAGGAACGATGTAACATCCATAGAAGATCGAATTAATGGCATGCTTGGCTTAATAGGCGTTATTTCTTCTATTACGCTTCTTATATTTGACTAATGACTGGCATATGGATTATCTTTGGTTAATGCCATCATGTACGCTTCGTTCTTGGGGGAACATTCTGTAAAGAGAAGCTTGAAAGGGAGTGAGGAACGGGTGAATCTAGAGAGGGAGAAGATCCTGTGAGGGGGACTCAAGGGAGTGTGGAGGGGATTCCATCATGGTTGCTCCGGCAGGCTTGCATCTTAATACCTGTCGGATTCTAAGGCTTGTCTCGAGGGAAGTTCACCTTTGGTGTCAAGGCCTGGCGACTCCGCCGCACCGGAAGGATGGAAGTGATTTGTTAAGGGCTTCTCCGCTCTAGTCTGTGGGGGCTAAAGGAAGACACTTGTTTTAGTGCAATACTTGAGGGGCCTCCAAGGATGGACATAGGTCAAGGTTTGATAGAACCATTATAAATCAGGCGTGTTTCTTATCTTATATTTGCTTCGCAGCATTAATTTCGCATCTTGATTTTGATTGTGGTGAATCTCGTTTTGGATTTAAGATTAGTGTTTGTTTAAATATTGATTCACCCTCGCTATCTCATTATTAGCCTGGGCCAGTTTCATAAGGGCTTAACATCCCTAACGAACTTTCAAGTGTATCAGAGCACTTTCTAGTGTCATCTGAGCACTTTTACATTTTACTGAACATATTCATTGTACTTGGGAAATTACATTTGCCTATTCATTGATGCTGGTGACTTTTGAATGTGTAGTGTCTAAACACAATTTTGGCATTGAGGTTGAAGATCTTAATGCTACACACTAGAAGATGGAGGGGTCGGGTGTTATAAAGCTAACCATTTGGATGTCGTGGCACAGCTTTATAAAGAAGTGTAACTTAATGTCAATTTTGTGGTGTCTGGTTGTGCCTTTAATGGCATTGTGATTCATTTATATTGACTCTGTGGTGCTAAATGAGACTTAAATTTTGTTTCCATTTTGTTGTATTTTTCCTACAAACAGAACTAAACAATATATTTGTACTAAAAAAATAAAATGAAATAAATACTTTATTTACACTTATCATTACCTCTTATCCAAATCCTAAATAAATTTTAAATCTAAAATCTAAAATTCAAACAAATCATTAGGCCTATTAAACAAACTTTTGATCAATATCATTTATACAATTAAAAGTTTAATCTTCACTTAATTAAGAGTTCTTAAGAAACTAATTTGAGATATATATAACTATAAGACTTGCCTATATTGGGAGTCCATAACCCAGTAAAATAATAAAACCTACTTTAGTTCTCCAATGTAGGGGAAAAGTCTTGATGAATGTTTATATGCTTTATTCCTTGTAGTTTCATATTCAAAATGATTTGTAAAATGTTCTCTTTTCTCTTTTGAGATGAATTTAACACTCATCTTGTCGATTAATAGTATGTGTTTAATAATGAAAGTAAATTGTTTGTTTCTCTTTTAAATTGATAGTAAAGTATTAGTCAATTTTTTGAAATTAGTATAATGTAGAATATACATGTTTAACTTAAAAATACATAAAGGAAATTAGTCACACAGTTGGTTTGTCAACATGTTTTTTTAGCCAGTTCACTGCGAAAATTCTTATCTTTATCTTAGTGAGGACTAGACTTACTTTTTTGTAAATATGGAAAGATTGATTAGAGTGAGTTTCTTAGATCATTTGCCTATAACATTGGTCCAGCAACTATAGATGTCTAAAATTCTAATTTGTCTTAGGTAAGATAGGAATCCTAATTGATTCCTATTCAAATTCATGTCTAAATATATTTAAATATCTCTTAGTTTGAATCTTTTGGACGGGTCTTATTTCAAGTTTAGTTTTGCTCAAATTCATGTCTAAATTCCTATTTAAAATGTCACCCTAGTTTGATGTCTTTCAAACTTGATCAAATCAAATTCATTCCAAATAAAGTGTCTAGTCCGCACTATTGGGTGGAAGTTCCATTGAATCCCAACTATTGGGTGGAAGTTTCTTCTATCCATTGTCAACAACTATTGAAGATTAGATTGTTCACCATATAGCTAACTCTCCACCTTATACCTATCTATGTGACCTTAAACTTCATTCCTTATCTAAAAGAAAAGGAAGTTCAAAACCCAACTAGATAAACTAATCCATGATTATGCAAACAAGTTATAGATAGTCAAAGTCAAAATTCTTGAAGATGTAAGAGATTTTATATCACTAGAGCTGAGTAAGTGCTATGCAAAGAAAGTTAGCTTTGATACCTATTAGAATAAGAATCTGTTTAAAGACGTAAAGTCTGTTAGGCTACTCATTAGTGTAATTTCAAAGAGAACTAAAGAAGTTTGTTGTTGTATATAATAATAAATCAAATTTTTGTCAACCATAAATAATATTAATATTTTTTGTCTTGTAGAGGTATAAACCCAATAACTCCTATTTCCTATCATTTAGAAATATTTCATTTAAAACTTTTCATTTTTCTTTGGGCCATTATCTATAGTTTGACCAGCACCCCTAGAAGGTAGCAAATCACCTTCATATTTCAATACGAGAGTTGAAATCATTAAATGACCACCATAGTAATGTAATGGGTACTGATGCACTGTTGTTAAAAAAGTTTGGGAGCAGCTGTCTCGTGCGGCTTTTGTTGGTAAGTAGAATTACCTAATGAATCAGTCCACACCTTTGAGAAGAGGCATATATTTGTAAAAAAAATTCTAGATCACTTCATCTGTTATAGTCAAGGTTTTAGTGATCAAAAAATAGAAACTTAGTGAAAAATATGGTAGATTATATCTTACGATTGAAAATTTGTAGTATGAAGTATGTAACTTAAACTACAAAGTAACACATTATAGAGTTTTCCTTAAAAAAACATGGTCTGGGGCCTTCCAGAGAAGTTTTTCTAAGTAATGGATGTTATGCTCGTCCAAGGACCATTGTAAGACGGGGTGAATGTTTGTTAGGGGACTAATTTGAATCCACCTTAGCTAACAGAGGGCTTTGTGCCCTATCGATCATATTCTATTGATTCATATCTCAAGGATTTAACGCCATTAAGGAGCGTATTGGCTCTGGCCATAACCGCTATCTGTGGTGCCATTTGGCGGCAAAACCACTCGGTTCAGAGGGCCCCGGGTCATAACCGTTTACCTGCAGTGCCATTTGGCAGTGAAACTGCCGGTTAGAGGACACGTACCACGTTCTTACTGGCAAGAGATTATTTGAGAATGGATCCTAGTAATATTTTCGACTAGGCATTTGGCTCTTTGTGAGCTAGAGTTTATTTGAATTTGTCCACCCCGGCAGACTATTGCGGAGGGTGAATGGATTTTGCTTTAAGCGTTGATGGATTTATTTCAATTTTAAATGTTTTTGGGATTTTGAGATTTTTAGAATTTTCTGGGATTTTGGGGTGGAGCTATGGACTTTGGATATTTATGGGTATTTTAGGTAAAACTTTGGAGTATTTGAAATAGAATTTTGGGAGACAATTGAAAGTATTTGAGAACCCCTCCGGTTGAGATCTGCATTCAACACGGCCATCATCGGGGTGTTGTGGGGTCATTTCTCTTTATGG